ATCGATGTCAAATAAAACACCCCAAGTGTCGCCCTGCGGTCAATATTCCGATGCTGCGGTGGCCGAGGCCGCTTTTCATTCCGTAGCCACATGGCATCGTCGACAATAGAAACAGACTTGTGGCCGTAGGCATCAGGTCTTTTTGTCAGGCCCAGCTCTCCGACAATTCCAATGGCCAGCTGCAAAAGACTGGTTTCTCCACCGCCGACATAAAAGCTCACGGGGTTCCTCCAACACAAGGAAATATCAGCATGGCGGCCTGGGGTCGAATAAAATGAAGGTCATCTCACCACGCGACAAAAACAAGAATCGCCTGCAGGAGCTCTGTGCTTTTTTCCATGAGTACTGCAACTCGATAAACGACATGTTGACGAAACCAGCGCTCGAATATTGCGTCTTTTTCGGGACCAAGAGGCCGGCATACTCTTAGGATGGTTTTCAGGAGAAGAGGGCTCGCATGGTAAAGTTCAGAAGTTCGGCAGACCGGTAGAGGAACAAAGGGGAATTGTGGGAGCATCTCGGTTTGATAATAGTGGAGTGATTGATCTGCTTCTTCAAAGGTGAGGTCTCTGCCAAGAACAAAATAAGGCCCTTCTGCGTCAAGCTGATTTGAAGCAGACGAGGGTATTGATGGCTGGAATGACGACGGCTCGGGCGCTCGAACATGCGGCGTGTGCGGTTTGGACGGTGTTGGGGATTGCCGTCGTTCTTGGTTGAGGAGGGACATGATATCGTCGAGCTTTTTTTCAATTACTTTGCCCCGCCTTTGTCTTTTGTCAGAGACTCTTGCAACTTCTCGCATGAGTGGGTGTATACAGACGTGGATTTGCCTCTCTTGTTTTTCGGACCTGCCGGCACGACTCTGGAGCAAGGGACATCATTCTTAGAACACCTGCGGAATTGATGCATGTTAAATACTGCACTTGTATAAAGTTGAGAGATGTGAGCTTGGTTCAAGGGGAATATAACCAGACCTTCTACATGGCACTTCATTTTCGTCACCGTCGATGCCGTTCGGCCTGACACACTTAGCTTTAGCTCGTGCACAGTTTATGCAAGCCCGGTGCTTTTCCGACATTGCGGCAACAGTTCAAAGAAATAGGAAATTTTACTGGGCGTGGTGAGGCCAAAGTTGAAGGGTTCAGGTTCCTGGTATGCAGAGTGACGGATTGGACATGGCCCCTGAGCCGGAGCGGAGAGCAACTTGCTCTCCGGTGGTGGATCTTGGATTTCTCACTCGTCTGACTAAAGTGAATTGGCCAATCAACTGCCTTGGCTATATAAGCTCTGCGGGTTTACCATGACGATCTACCAGCCTGAGTACCGGAGCGCAGGTCAATTTGATGTCCCGGCTCCCAAACTGCTCAGTTATATAGAGGTGAATTATCTTACAGAAATCTGCCATTATGGAAGATAATAAGAACAATCAACGCTCCTTCACATATGGTCATTGCTATCTAACAAACTCCCGTCAAAATGCAACAATCCGAAAGCTCGCCGGAAAGCGGCTCGAAGTCAAGGGAACTTACAGAAAATGCAACTGAAAAGCCCAAAACTGACGACGAAAGGGGGACTCAAGAAACCCCCGATCCGCAATTTCTGTCCGGTTTGCGACTGGCATCGGTCATGGTCGGGTTGATGCTGTCCGTCTTTTGTCTCGGGCTTGTTCGTCATAAACACTTCCCCTTGTTTCCTGTTGAGTTCCGAACTGACAAATAGCATCCAGGACCGTTCGATTCTCGCTACCGCAATTCCCAAAATCACGACCGAGTTCAACTCCCTTAACGACATTGCGTGGTACGGCTCGGCTTACTTGATCTCAACATGCTGCTTCCAGCTCATGTTTGGCAAACTTTACGCTACCTTCCCCCTCAAAACCATCTTTCTCTCCGCCTTGGGCCTATTCGAAGTTGGCTCTATATTCTGCGCCGCGGCGCCCAACTCCGTCACACTTATCATTGGGAGAGCGATTGCAGGTATCGGGTGCTCGGGTGTCCTCTGCGGAGGAGTGGTCATTATCACTGTTAGCCTACCTCTACACAAACGACCTAAGTATGCAGGCATTTTCAGCGCTGCGAGTGGCGTGGCCCAGATTCTGGCTCCCACTTTGGGAGGCATCTTCACGGATCGTGCAACGTGGCGCTGGTGCTTCTGGATCAACTTGCCTCTTGGGGCTGTGACAGCTGCGGTGGTTTTGTTCCTTGTGAAGATGCCTGATCGACCAAGTACGGAAGAAGAAGATCAACAGCGTGGCCAATTCAGTCGCCTAAAATCCTTTTTCTCCAAGCTAGACGTTATTGGCACAACCCTCCTTATGCCGTGTATGATCTGCCTCAATCTTGCTCTCCAATGGGGTGGGACCACCCTGCCTTGGAGTAACTGGCGAGTCATCCTCTGTTTGAGCATGTTTGGCGTTACCTTTATTCTTTGGTGCTATGTTCAATATTCTCGTGGAGATCAGGCGACGCTGCCGGTGCGCATCATGAAGCAAAGATCCGTCGCGAGCGGCACGTGGTTCTCGTTTAGCCATGGTGCTTTGAGGTCCCTGATCATTTATTACATACCTATATGGTTTCAAGTCGTTAAAGACACTAATGCCGAGCAATCTGGGATTAATTTCCTTGCCGCTTCTATCGCCATGGTAGCATCGGTCATATTGACAGGCCAGTTGGTAAGGAACCATCATCACGAACATTCCCTAACATCTTAGTCGATAAGCGGGAGTTTCTAATGCTAACGAGTAAATTTTTCCTAGACATCGAGGATAGGATATTATGTCCCCCAGATGCTGTGCTCTACAGTCATTGTATCCATTTCCCTCGGGCTGATTTACCGTTATAATTTGGACACCACAACAGCATATTGGTAAGCGGATGAGCACCCCTGGCCCGTATTCCTTACTTATTGCCTACTTAGGGCAGGTACATTGGTCATGTTCGGATTCGGCTCGGGAATGGGCCAGCAGCAGCCGGTTACGGCTTGCCAGACCGTGCTCAAGGGTCGCGATGTCCCTCTTGGTACTTCGACCGTCCTTCTCGCCCAGACCCTTGGAGGGGCAGTCTTCCTCGCCGTGGGACAAAACATATTCCAAAGCCGGCTTGTGGAGCAGCTCTCCCAAAACGTGCCGAATATTGACCCCAGGACCGTGTTGGATCATGGAGCGTCTGGATTGAAAGCAGCCGTCACAACACAGTACGGTGATGCATCGGCACAGGCTGTTCTTGCTGCCTATAATGACGCCATCCAGCGCTGTTTCCTCATTTGCGTTATACTTTCGTGTCTCACCATCTTCGGCGGCTTGACTATGGAATGGGTCAGTGTCAAAAAGCCCGAGACTGATCGACAAGCTCCGACACCTCATCTAGATCAGCCAGGGGAACAGCCAAAGACGAATCCCGACGAGGCGAAGTCGGAAAGGAACAACGCCTGTATACATATGCCAGGGATAGAACGGTGATGCTTGAACTCCGTTGTGCAGATCAATAATCTCTTTTGTGTTTCTCCTTGTAGATTAGAACATGGATAGAAAAGGGGAGAGATCACCCTGAATGACCACTTTCCCCCAACATTAAGCAACGCGGAATATATATCAAATATCCACATATTAACCGTTTGCCGTACTAAGTAATGCAGACGAGCATGGACCAGATTTATGCTCGAGTGGGCTACCAAATGGGTCCGAGAGACAGTTTTCATGCCGCACGGGACGAGCTTTTGACCGTATAATAGGTGGACTTCTGCTATGTGGGTAATGGAACGGCTTTACGACGGCCAGCAAAGAGTGACAGGAGACAGGCACCAGGGGTCCATCTAATTATGTCCGGGCGGGTTAGTGAATCTGAGTGAGCATGACGCGCTTACTTTCCCAAATCTGAACAGGTTAAGACATGAATGGAATAGATGGGGCAGTGAAATCGAATAAATAAATCAAAATAAGTACATTCTCCCCAAGTTCTCTGCTGAGAAAAGGGCGCAGGGCACCGGATATTGGAGCCGATAAATACGGCCATGAATTATGAACGACAGCCCATGAATAATGCACCACCTGGGCTGAGTGGGGGCTCTCTAGCCAGATAGATCCAAGGAGGCCTCGTATTGCAGCTGCAAGACATTGTGGCAGCTCGTATCGCAATTCAGAGATCATCTCGGCCTCGCCTAACAGTCGGATGACCTCTTCTTCTTTCTCCGTCATTCTGCTTGCACTCTTCCTCCACATCCTCAGTCTAGCACCTTTGGCCCATTTTGCTCTTTTATTCATTCTTTTTTGTGTTTGGACTCTCATTATTCCTCCTGTTTCTTTGAGTGTCCTTTGTGCTACATACGTACCCACCTGACAACACACAACCCCCGTGTCACTGACAACTGTCCGTCCGTCCGTGCAAAGATCATTTCCTTTGTAACAATCCCATGGTTCTTCAGGTCGCTGGCGGCCTTCAAGTGAATTCCTACAAAGACCCCAAGGGCATAGTTAGAATAGCTATGTCTTCATCCCATTTCTCATGGTAGATTTTATCCCGTTCGCATCTCGTGAACCGGCCTGCGGGCCTCCCTCTTCTTCGAGTCACGCGAACCACAGTTCCCAGCCAGCGCAGTCATCGAGCCCGACGTCTCCTCATCACCCATCGCCCAATTTGAGGGCAGCAAAGCCTTTCAAGGCTGGCATCGCCATTTTCCAACCTCAGCCGTGACACCACTCTCTTCTTCCGATGTCGGCACCTCAGTCAGGGCCTGCTCGCCGAGGCAGTCCCGTCACCACCAACTACCGTGGCGTTACTTCTCCAACACAGCAATACGGGTCTCACAGACCGCCTGAAGCGAACCAGGGCGGCCAGCAATGGCGAGGACCATCCCCAGCGCCTGGTTTCCGGGCTGCGTCTCCAGCTAGACTCGACTACCAAAACCCTCGAACCAGCCAGCAGCGCTTAGTTAGAGACCGGCCACGACCTGGGCCAGGTCACACCCGGTCCCAGAGTGCCATTGTCCCGTCTTCATCGGGATATATGGTCGGCAGCTCCCAAAGGCCGAAAGTCCCAGCGATCTCCGTCAACGGACCCCAATCCCGACCGGCCAGCTTCCACACTCCCACCCGATCCACAGATCAACGGTCGAACAGCGGCGTGTATCTACAGCAAAACCCCCCGAGACAACCAATTCAACAAACTTCTCGGAGCGGTGAGTGGGTGCCGGGCGTCATCCCTCGCCAGAACCTCCAACAGTCGCACGCCCAGTTCATGGCCTTGGAAAAAGAGTTTCAGAACCTCGTAAAGTCTTCCTCGCCGAACCACTCCCGCCATGATAGTTTCGACAGCGCGATCTCGACCCGGAGTAGCTACTCCCGGCCATCCGTGCGTAGTACATCTTCTCGTGTGGCCCAATCCATTGATGCTAACCAGGATTTACAGTCTGCCACGAGCCAATCCTCCTCTGGCCCAGCCGACATGAAAGATGCCCCGTTGCATGGAGCTAGAAGAAACTACACCTCCTCCCCGTTAGCCAAACCAACGAGACCTTCGGTCGATACAACAGCCAGTTCAAATAGTCCTACGCATAAAAACGGTCCTCCCGCGACGGCGGTTCCTTCGAGCAAGAAACATACAAGAGGAGAGAGCAAAAGCTCCAGGCTTCGACGGGTGCTATCAATTGGTAGCCTTGATAATGTTTCAAAGTCTGGCGAGAGTGTAGCTGAGAGCCAGGATGGTAAAGATACAAAATGGGGAGAGGTCGATGGTGGTCAAGAACATGGAAGCGAACGGCCACATACACCTAATCGCGAGCACGGAATCTACGGCTCTAACATCTTCAGTCGATCGCTGGAGAGTATCGCGGCTTCCACAAAAGCCTCCTCGGCATCTGCCATGATTAAGAAGGTGGGCAGCGGTGTGAGGAGAGGCTCTCGGTCACTGTCCGGGCTCTTCCGTCCCAAGTCCCCTTCGCCACTCGTCACAGAAGTGAGCCAGCCTGCCGTGTCGATGGTCACGGTCGAGGCCGAGACACCGATCGTTAAAGTCAGCCAGCCTGCTGTATCGATGGTCACGGTCGAGGCTGAGACGCCGCTCGTCAAAGGGCCGCTACCCCCTAAGGTTTCCGAGGCGTTTCCTACTATAGGACTCGGCTCGCCGAAAGCCAGCTTTGAGCACGAGGTTCCCAAAATTCCAGAGCGGAACAGGAGTGACTCTCTAAGTCCACCGGAAGATCCCAAGGCGCAGAGTATGGGGTTGATTCGCGGCACCAGCCCGATCCCCAAGGGTATTCTTAAGGGTGTGTTCAACTAATTACCAACCTCTCCATTGATGCAAGTAGACAGCTAACCATCTATTAGGGTCGGCGAGTCCTGATTTACGTCCAACGTCTAGAAAAGAGGTGCCGACTTTTTCTGATGTTTTCTCATCTCCAAGCCCAAGTGTCCCCAGCACCCCAACAAACGAGGCCCAGGATTCCCGCATGCTCAATCCCTTCCTCACGGGTGATTTTACGAGTGATCTCACGAGCGATCTCGATGGTTTGATGGAGGCTTTGAATCGGGTAAACGGCATTGATGAGCCTATCGAGGCTGTACAAGCCGTACAAGCTGTGGCCAAACCAAAGCATCACACCTCATTTTCTCCGCGTCTCGTCTTCTATGAGACGTGGACGCCGGAGGAATACGACAGACGGGGGGAAGTTGCAACCTGCAATCTGCTCACGCCCAAATTGGCCCAGCAAATAAAGGAGGAAATCAACACATTTAAATTGGTGAGCCGCCACTGCTTCAATATCTACTCTGCTTATTCTAACTTGACTACTTCCCAGGAAATGGACGTGCATGAGACGTCGAAGATGTACACACAATTTCACTAATGTTTAAACCATTTGGCATTTCTTGGCGCAAGGATCATTATAGCATCGTGGCATATGCATGCCCTGGGTGGAAACCGGGCCACATTTCAGACTGCAAAGCATTCGAGGGCTCCAGCATGGGAGGAGTTATTCTAGTTCAGTCTATTAATACTACCATCATGGGAACGCTCTAGCTCCCAGTACGATACAAGATGTATGATGTTCTGTCTTAGAACTTCTAGAAGAATCCGGGACGATATCCTAACTACTCTCTGTGTTGAAAGCAAGCGTAAGCCTTCCCGAAATCGGCCGGCAGAATCATCAGCCAGAAGATGGTTTATTAGAGACACGCCGCGAATCTCGGCAACAACGTGCAAACGATACAGGCTCGGTATGTATAACCGGTAAAGCATAATTTGGCGTCTGTTGGGAGCAGTAGCAATGATGTCAGTTCGAGGTCCACATCGGCCGAGTCTTTTTACGGGTTCTGTCTCGGATTTCACTCCGCTTTCAAAGTCGGCATGACACGAGAAAGACGCCGGTTCCTTTGTATTTCTGAGACCTGAGAAGGGCACCGGGCCGATATTCTCCACAAAGGGGCCACAAGGTCAACAGAAGTCGGCTTTCGAAAACTGCCACTAACAGAACTTTTCACGCTAATAAATATGGACAAAGAGAAACGAAGAGATCCAATGGCCTCGGGAAAATTGAAAAGGCAGAATTGGTGGCAGAGTTGGTGGCGGATTCATGGATGCCTCAACTGGAATGCGGCTATCTGCATCGGCGGCGAGATGATGGCGGCCGCGTAACGGCGTGGATTACTTGTCTCTCCGCATGCATTGTAGTCTCTTACCGCCGACAGACAAGACATCTGGATTTAGCTGCAACGTTCGCGCATCTTACCATCATGCGGGGTATCAGTCTCGGATGCTGACAAGACAGACTGGTCCGGTGACAGCGGTGAGTAACCGATGAGTGAGAATACGAAGGTGGGCATGGGAACTAAAGACGAACAATTGGCTTGGCACAGCTAAAGAAAGGCCGAGAGAGAATGTGGAAAGGCAATGAGTGAGCTGTTGCTGGGACTTTGGCAACTGAATATTGCTACCCTAGACAGGCCACGCAAGCAAACGCGGAACAACCGGCGAGATGTTGGTTCAATTGAGGTGGCAGGCGGTTGCAACTCAAAAAAAAATAAAGGGCAGGCAGAATGGCCAAACTCTCCGGATGTATGGGCTGATAATTCTTCTTGGATCCGGGTGCGTGTGGCCGAAATGCACTCAGATGGCGCTGGTCATAAAGAGGGAGGTTAGCATCTGCGCCCAGCCTCAAGAAAAAGACACATGAAACTCAAAGTTCCACCACCACCTGCCTATTTGGGTAATGGCCATGGAGTCAATTAGCCGCCGCTTTTTCCGTTTTTCACGGACGTTTCGGTGCGAAGCGAGAAAGAGTGTCGCATTTTGAACAGCATCATGCACTCTCTTCCCAATGGTGTGACAATATAGCTCACATCATGACGCTACGATAGGCAAGTTCCAACCATGTAGGCGCCTTGATGAGCAATGGATTGACTTGAATAGTGAATGAAGCGACAGTAGATCGTCTGGCTAGTGATACGCTACAGCGATGGCCGACGAGCTCCCCCTCATTGCTGATCAATTGCTCCTGCATGACCCTCCGAACTCTTCCTCGAGAACTGGGGCAAAACTGAAGCTACTGCAAGCTGCTCAACTAGTGAACGATTGACAAAGTTTGTTGTTTGTTTGTTAGGGGAGACTTCCCCTCGCCAGCCCCTCATATTGATGGAGCACGCGCAGTTTCAGGGCCGCTAATCGCAGTCGATCCTCATAGAGCGTCGTCCAGGCCGAATCACCGTACGGGAAGGTCCGTGATGAAGATCATGACGTCTCTGTTCTTCTGCTCTCCATTCTCTCCTCCTCGTTGACGATGCTGCTTCTCGAGGAGTGCCAAATTTAGGACTCAACGACACGCAGTCCGTCAGCAAACACTCCGCCAGCGTATGCTCTATATTTACGGCGGAAGCACCAGGGGTCGACCCGTGGCTATACGGTAAGCCGCCACAAACGACAGGGAAGCCCATACAATGATCAGCCTGTTTAGTGAGAACAGGCGGACTATCACCTGCACATCAGCAGCCTTCAGGGCACTATTGCATTATTCCTCGGCAACAAGGCAGTGGCGGTTAGATTTTTGGTGCGGTAGCATCAACTGAACCCGCGGCACCAAACCTACGCAGTATCTAGTGCGTGGACTATCTGACTATACTAGACCATTTGAACTATTCTGCGGCTGAGCCGGAGCTGCTGTGCATCTAGACAGGGCCATTTTATGCTCCTATTGTGAGGGCCAGAACGAGGGAGGGGAGAAATGTCATACTCCCCGCGCTTAGTGTCTGGGAGCTACGTAGGTAACGTCTGGCTTGTCTTTGTTGATGTCGGTGAACATGCTAGACATTTTGCTTACTCTCGTTTTCTTTTTTAATCACGCTATTCTTTCGCTCTCGCCTTCCATCGACCAATGGAAATTAAGAGAGCATTGAAACTCAACAGGCCCATACATACCTACGCTAGAATGTCTCTGCTTGCCCACCAGACCTACGGGATACGGAGGCGGGGCAAAGGGTCGTGTCCATCATCCAGACCAGACGGACCTGCAGGGATTCTGGTCCAGTGCCGTTCGGACAGCAACAGCTGCTGGACCCCGTAACTGACGAGCCAATCCAGATACGAGGTTGTCTTGGCCCAACCCCTGCCCATGCCGTTAACCATCTGATGCCGCTTGCAGCGGTCTAGTCCCGCCAGCCCCTCGCTAAACCTTCCAGCCTCTCCGTTCAAGTCAATCAGGTGCCCAAAACGCATTGCCAATGCTCACCACGTTCCCGCTCTGAGGCTGTGAGTCCATGTGGTTTCAGTAGAGGGGTTCTTTAGTTTCCGAACCCGTATTATGTGTTCATGTCCCCCTCTTCTCCATCACAGCATAGTATTTGTATATAACAGGTGAAGCCCTCGGTGGGATTTACACTCACTCCTCCATCTCATCACATCTCATCACACTTTCTCATCTGTCTTGACATTGGCTCCTCATAGCCACTCCCCACCACCACAACCTCCCCAGTCACAATGATCGCCCACTCATTCTTCGCAGCTGTTGCCTTGGCACTCTCTGTGTCAGCTCAGACTTCAACAACCTGCAATCCTCTTGAGACAAGTATGAGATCGCTGCCCCTCTAATAAGGGAAGAGACACTAACAGTATATTGATAGCCTGCCCTGCCGCCCCTGCTCTGGGCAACGAGCAATTCTACTATGAATTCAAGAACGGCGACAGCGCCGACTTCAACAACCTCGGAGGCACCAACTTCTCCTACGACGCCAACAACGGCGCCCTCTTCAACATCGACCGGGAAGGCCAGTCCCCCACCATCGCCCTGAAGAAGTACATCTTCTTCGGCCGCATCGACGTCGAGCTCCAGGCCAGCCCGGGCGTCGGCGTCGTCACCTCCGTTGTCCTCCAGTCCGCCGACCTCGACGAGATCGACTGGGAGTGGCTCGGCGGCGACAACACCCAGGTCCAGTCCAACTACTTCGGCAAGGGCGACGTGAGCACCTACGACCGCGGCGCGTTCCACCCCGTGTCCGCCCCCGTCGACACCTTCCACACCTACTCCATCGACTGGACCGCCCAGAAGGTCGATTGGCTCATCGACAACGTCGTCGTCCGCACCCTCAACTACGCCGACGCCAAGGGCGGCTCCCGCTACCCCCAGACGCCTATGGAGGTCAAGCTCGGCACCTGGGTCGCCGGCCTGCCCAGCGCCAGCCCGGGGACTGTCCAGTGGGCCGGCGGCATGACCGACTTCAGCAAGGCGCCCTTTGACGCCTGGTACAAGTCGATCAAGATTGTCGACTACGCCGGCGGCAGCGCGCCCACGACGGACAACGTCAAGGAGTACGTCTTCGGCGACCGCAGTGGTTCCTTTGGGAGCATCCAGGTCGTCAAGAACTAGAGAACAAAAAAAGGGGACTTCCCCGCCTTCGTACAATTGCTGGTACCGCATGCACATCGGATGAAAAACCCTTTCATCCGATGGGTGTGCAGACCTGCATACTTTAATGTTTAGCGTTTTCGTCATTTTTGTTTCACTTGGGCAGGACAGAGCGGAAATTGGGGGGCTTTGGGCGTTTATTAGTGCGACGGGTGTTGCACATGGTTATATTGGTGTCTTGGATGATTTGGGTCGAGATGAGCGGTCCGCAGCTCCTTATGATATGATCGGCTGTGCTGCAGCAACAGTCCGTTACGTCACTTAGATTTAATAACAACAAGATTAATATGTTACAAAAATGTCTTATGTTACCTTTAACCCTATTGATCTACCGCTCTCGTTGGTTGGTGTGCTGTATCTTTGTCGTTACATCTGTATGTGGGCTGGAATGAGGGATAAATACGCGAAAAGAAGGAGCACTGCGTATTAGAGGAATGTGTAATGCGAGAATAATGTTTCTTGGATGGACAGCGGTTTCAATTGGTGTTGTTCACGGACCAAGTAAACTGGTTGGCTCCGGGATAAAGCCTGCCTGTGACTTGCGATTTATAAATGAAACCAACATTCCTGCATGACGTGATCCTGCTGCCTGGACTCGCCCATGACGCCCTTCCATCAAGGAGATTCGTTGGTGGGCTAGCGAAATATTCATTCCAACTTCACTGAATCACCCACGTCGTTTCTGCAACGTTCGATCACGTTCTTAGCAACCTTGCTTTATGCTGCGCGCTACTCCTTCTGCATGCCACTCCTTCTGCATGCTGTGCATGATAGGACAATAGGACTTACTTACATGTCCGCTAGGCTAGTCTGACTGTTTCTGGGTGAATTGTCCGACAAGGCCAGGGGCAATGCGTTTCTCCGCGCCACCCGGGATGCCAGCACCGGAATAGGCTATGTGGTCAATTTTTGCGAGCCTGTATCCCGGGCTTGAGAGGTTTGTTGTCATTTGGGTGCTGTGGGCAGCCGGCGTGATTATGTGGCGAGGCGGAGCAGTAGCATCGTGTGGGCAGCCGAGGATGTGGGCGTGGTGGACGTAGTGGGCGGAGGTGGGCGGAGGACGGAGGTGGGCGGAGGTGGACATGAGAGCCGTGTAAATGATGGAAAGATAAGGCCAAAGGGTAGTATGAAGGCAGTATAAAAGGATATAATCGAAAGGCGTTGTCTTTGGAATGAAACTCAGCATCCCTTTCCTATCATCTTAGTTCCTTACCCTCTTTTGAATATTGGCATTGCCCGGTTCCAGCAAATATGAGTGAATCCAAGTTCAGGGTCCTCATCGTGGGAGGGAGCGTGACCGGCCTCACTCTCGCCAACATGCTGGAGCGAGCAGGTATCGACTATCTTGTGCTCGAAGGCCATCACGAGATTGCGCCTCAGATTGGTGCCAGCATTGGCCTCTTCCCTAGCGGTTTGAGAGTCCTGGACCAGCTGGGCTGTGCCAAGGACCTTTTGGACCTCGTCGACATGCCTCTCGAAAACATGTTTATGCGGAATGGAGATGGATCGGTGATTTTCCACCAGAAAGATTCCCAGCTGATCTTTGAAGAAAGGTTTGTCCAAGATCCACCTCGGGCCATCTCGAATTAATTAGAGAATTTAGGCACGGTTATCCAGTCATCTTCATCGACAGACAAATGCTTCTGCAGCGCCTATACAAGAACCTGAAATCTACAAAAAGGGTCCTCAGCGGCCAAAAGGTCAAGTCAATCGAGACTATTGAGAACAGTGTTCAAGTCACCACGGCCTCCGGAGAAACCTTCCATGGTGATATTCTCGTGGGAGGTGATGGCATTTACAGCACGGTTCGACAGGAGATGCACCGTATTGCTCAGGAAGAGTCGACTAATTATTTCCCTGAGGATGAATGGTCAAGTAAGTTCCCCTGAAACGTACCCTCTGAGCCAATAACCATGCTGATGCAAAACTAAACAAAAACAGAAGTGCCTTGCGATTACAGATGCATCTTTGGCATTTCACAGCCTACGAAAAAATTGACGCTGCCTGGAATTCATTATGTCTTGAACAAGCACAAATCCTACCTTGTCATCACAGGTCCAGGGGGTCGAGTGTATTGGTTTCTGATGGACAAGTTGCCCAAAACCATGTACGGGGACCAAATTCCCAGATATACCAAGGACGAAGAGCTTGCACTTGCTGCGAAATACGCCTCTGATCCAATCACCACCGAAATCACCTTTGGGGAGTTATATGCCGGCAGAACCAGTTCCGTGTTAACGCCCCTCCACGAGTATGCATTTAGTAAATGGTTCTACAAACGAGCCATAACCATAGGAGACTCTGCACACAAGGTGAATCCATCCGTGACATCCATTATGTTTAGACGGAGACTGATGTGACTTCTTTATACTAGTTTGAACCGATCACTGGGCAGGGCGGAAACAGCGCTATCGAATCAGCTGCCGCGTTTGTTAACAACTTGACCGCTGCTCTGAAAAAGACCAAGGGCCCATTAACCAACAAGGAGATAGAAGCAATCTTCGAGAAAACGCAGGAGCAACGATTCGATCGAGTGTCATATTTGATATCCCTCGCCCACAAGCGCCAACAGAACGACGCCCTTGAGACTCCTATTCATGAAATTCTTGCCAAGACTCTTCCCTTGATAATCCCGACAGAACTTGCATTGGAGGAGCTTTCACGTGTACTTGTTGGTGCTGAGCACCTCCAAATCCTACCCAAACCTCCGGGAGCACACAGCCGGCCATGGGGCGACGAGCTTCCTGCCAAACCATTTTCGGCCCCCTGGATCTTGGGAGGACTCGGCTTCTCTGCCCAAGCCTTCTTATTTTGGTTATCCGGAAAGGCTATGTCGAATCTTACAATTCCTCTGGACTTTATGGGAGGAGACTTCAGGAAGGAGTATGTCCATATCAAGTCGGTGGATGGACTTCTCTCAGTCTTGGTAAGGGCGTTCGGGAAAGTACTCTCGCCTTCCACTCCAGAGAGGGCGCAGCTGCTGTACTTCATGCCTGTTATCATGTCCACTATTCTCGATTGGATGATTGAGGGATATCGCGCAGGCAGCCAGGGATTGCCCCTTGCTTGGTAAGTCGAGTGTCTTGATAGAAACGCTTTAAGCTGCCACCAACCTCTCACACGTATCTGACATATCATAGGCCAAGTGCATTTGGTAGCATCTACCAGCTGTCTGGGATAGGCCGCATTGCGCCTCTTTACAACGTGCTGAATATTCCTTTTGCGACGCTTTTCCGCACGCTCGGAGTAAATACTGGTAGGACAATCCCGCCAGAAGTATCAAAGGCCCTCCTCCCTAGTATCACGCTTGGATACGTACTACCTTCGATCCTACTTGTCTATCCATTCCAAAACAAAGACACTTGGCAGAAGTATATCGCCCTGTGGCAGCCGTTCCCGGTCTTCGTTGGCGTACTTACTACCGGGCTCTCTAAATTTTATGCTAGCAAGAGGCCCGCATTGGACGAAAAATCAGACGCCGAAAGAAAGAAGAAGGACAGGAAGGCTAGTCTCCAAACCCTCAGGCGTGTATATGCTATCGGGTTTGGAGTCACCGCGCTCTGCCATGTGGGCTCGATGATCAGCATCTGGAACACGCCGGGCCAGTCGGTTTCCCAGGTCCTTGGCAATCTCGGCTCCCCGTTCGCTGAAAAGGTGGACGAAACTCCCGGTACAGGCATTCCACTGTTTTTCAGATGGGACATGGCGCTGAATTGTGCCTCCGTGGCCGTCCAGGGCGTCCACCGCATCTGGGAACTGAGAAGTTACGGATATATTACAACGGCCAGCGCACTCAGGGCCACCTTATTGGCAGCGGCGGGAACAGTCGTCGCTGGTCCGGCGGCTACCCAGATTGGAATCATGGCATGGAGGGAAGAGATTTTGGTTGGCCTGGCTCGGTGAGCGGCTTAGTGTACTCAATTGGTTATCTCATGTCGTCAAGACACTGTTGACACGTCATCTATTTGGAGAATATGTAGGAAAGGCTTTGGATTATTAGACTGGATTATTAGAATGCATGATTGAGAATGGAATATTCGATAGAATAGAATAGACTGAATATAAACCCGAAGATCGAAAACATCATCACTTATCTACCGAAAGCCCGAAGCGACGACTCTCGGGGTCTCGGGGAATCGATATGCATGATTATGCCTGTTAACTTGTGGACCGATTGCCGTTTCGACCGGGATTAAAATCACGCGTGTCATCGGGCATCGCCAATTCCGTCGCGAGTCTATGCAACTGGGTAACCGGGTTGCCAGCAGGCATAATTGATTAATTAAGCCCCTTGCAACTTGGCTTCCTTGTTTTCTCCTTCCATTACGAATCTCCGAGCGGGCCGTATCTTTAGGCTGGCCCCATCCCGATCTTGTGTGGGTGATCTCTCTTCCTCGCTATTCATAGTTGGATCTCATCTATGATGTCCTCGACCATGAACCCTAATCACAAAGGCAACGGCACAGCAAACTTCACATGTGCCGTGTGCTGCCGCGCCTTTCACCGGGCAGATCATCTAGCGAGGCATGTCCGCAGCCATAACAACGTCCGGCCCTTCCGATGTGAGGTTTGTGGTCGAACGTTCGGCCGCCGCGATGTGCTATTACGCCACGCTGACCAAGTCCACCGACAAAATGGAGGTCGTGAGAAGGATGCCCCTTCGTCTAGACTCGCCCAAAGCAATAAAGGCCTGAGTGGTGATGAAATCTCATTCTCGCGGAGGTCTCAATCTACCCCTAAAAGACAATGCATAGGAGAAAAGACTCCGGCGACACGGGCCGTCGAGTTCGTCAGACACTCACCAGCACATGAAATCGTTGATGGCATTGAAAAAGTAGCCTCCCTACGAGGAGCAGAATTGGACGACTTTGTCCAACGGCTATCCAGGGTCAGTTCCTACGCAGATCTGACTCGTGTCTTTCGTAAACAAACCCTCCCTAAGCCAAATGAGATACCTATTCAAGTTTATCCGAATATCCTGGCTGGTGATTGCGCAAGGTATATTCGGATTCAACAGACTCCTCCTCAACCACTACAAGTTGCCAGCGCATACCCAGTCACGTCCCTTAGCGAGTATACTATCGATCGCCTCCTGCAATCCTATAGGGAGAACTTTCCCTTTCCCTGGATCCATTTTCCCACTTGGGATTTCTCCCCTGCGTCATTGCGGCGAGAACAACCCTATGATAGTCAGACACATAGGCCATGCAATGGCTGGAAGCGGCAGCCGCACAGATTAATGCTGATTTCTATGTTAGCATTGGGTGCCAGCTGCTGCCACGAGACCGCCCTGGCTTTAGACTTGTACCAACAGGTCCGAAAAGGGATCCTTGGCTGGGTTTCTCGAGCCAGAGAGGAGCCACTGCCCCAGGCGTTCTTCCAAGCCTTCATCGGATATCTCGCCTTTGGTATAACCTTTGGAGACAAATCCTTGGAAGATCTGACTATTGGCCACACGATTTCCCTCAGAGCGTTGGTGAGAGATGCAGCCTTGGAAAAGCCAAAGGCAACTGTAGATGAACTGGCTGTTTGTGGATGTGGATGCTGTGCTGATAAACATGTGTCTCAATGGCTTAGGTGGGTGAGAGTTGAGGAACGCAAGCGCACCTTCTTTGCATATTTCTCGGTTCTGAGTTCGACCCTGATGTACCTCGATTCCATTGCTACCGTGGATTGGCGCGAAGTCGGATATGATTTGCCTTGTGGCGAGCAAGTCTGGTTGGCTGATAGTGCCTCAGCTTGGAGCGAAGCAATCAGGACAGATCCTCTGCAACCACCGTTTGCCGAAGCCGTACGGCATCTGTTCGAGAACGATGCCGCCGTCGATGACCAGAAGAGACCTTTTGGACCTCATACAAGTTCCAACGGTTATGGAGGCCAACGCCAGCACATGGACCGTCTGCTGCAAACTGAAATGTCCTGCTTTCTCCTCATTACAGCAGTACACTACGAGGCCTTCCATGCTCGAACACAGCCTGGCCCGTACTATGAAAATTCTGATGAGGCGCTTGAAAGATGGCAGGCTCTTTGGACAGAAGCTTGTGCTGACATGGGTTCTGAGCACGTTGAGAGGCTCAGGAGCTGCAGCACCGCCATGTTCAACCACACGCAGTTGGTTCTGCAGGCTAACATCGAGGAAGCAAGAGAGGCTCTCATGTCCCGAAGGTTCAAGAAACTCCACATCTTATTCTTGTTTCTCGACCGCCTTCCCCAGCCTGGGTATCCTCTGGACCTGCCATGGGCCTCCGACGAAAGTCAGTTGATCGAGAACATGTTTTTCATAAGCGAGCAGCGCAGTGCGTTCCGCCACCTCGCAACATGCGCTCTGAATGCCCTGGAACAATCTGTCATATATGTTTCGAAAGAAAGCCAGCGCGTTCAGATTGGGTTGCACGTGGCGGCATCCATGTTTTACAACATACAATGCTTGTGCAGCTGGCTATGCTTCTTCGCTCATTGTCTGGATCGAGGTCTCTACGGCGGCGACTTCGAGTGGGATGATAACGCAGATGCCAAGGACAGCCGTTTGCTCGAGTCTATTCTGTCGTTTGCAAAGAACAGAAAAAGGGAGTTCAATGCATCATATGAGATCCTGAGCTCCCCAGATGACTTCGACAGGAACAAGGCGGGCCGACTTGCATGCGACCTACTTGATGTGCACCATCATATCCTCAGTCGATGTGGAACTTGGCCCCGTGAGTATTTCCCCACGACGCTTCCAATTGCTAGACTTGCCTTTAACACTAAGTAACTAGTTTTCGACCATGTTGGTGATGCTTTGAAAGGGCGCTCTCTTGCGATTTCTGACTGGATAGATGCCAACTAGGTCAATAATATTCTACTCCTTCGTTAGCCCTCAAGAACACGTTTGAATGGAAATATGTAGCAAAGTGGTATGGTGTTTCTTGAAGCCCAGCCAGCGGGTTTGTAGGAGCTCTTGACGGGATGTATTTTAATATAAGCTACCAATTGACATCGATCCATCGGCCTGGTTCGCCTTCTATCCATTCCTGCCAGGTCCGTAAAGCAATGCGAGCTCCTCTCTGTCTTTTTTCACCATACACGGCTGCAAATAAGCGAAACAATGGATGAGCGCCTGTTTCGATCTCCTCGACCCCCGTGCCATTGGCAATGGGCTTCAACGCGATTCCCTGAGCGGCTTTGCGAGCCCAGTATGCCTTTGAGGTACTCAGCTCAAGGTCAAGCGCGGCCTGCATGAGACTCGCGGACATGACTGTATCCCAAATGCCATCCAGCCTTGGCCGGTAGAGCAAACTAAGTGCACGCCTTCGAGTCGCATATCCGAATCCACACTGGACGACGAATGCAAGCGGGTTTGTTAGGGCTGGGCTCGGAATTAGGGCACTCCCATCACCTCTACCTATGCCGGCCGCCTCCATGAGAAGAACATGCTCTGCTCGATTAACAATTGATTCGCATAGCCCTGGCAATAGCCTCAGCCGCTTCAACGGGTTTGGCTCATGCGGATCCTTGTGAAATATAAGACGGATCGTATCCTTGTAAATGTATAGGTACTGGACCGCCTTTCCAATCTGGACCTTGACCGTTGGGGACCAGACAGAGTCCCCTTCGCCAGATTCCAGGGCTTTCTCAAACATATGCAGAGTTGACTCGATTTCTTTATAGCACCGCAGATGGAGCTTCTGTCTCGCAGCGAGGGAGGGGAGCTGCAACTGCCTACTTGCATGGAGAGCCGTGAGCTCAGCGAGATGCATCCCCATGAAGTAGACGAGAGCCCACATGAGCGACTCGGAAGCACGAGTGGCTAGTATGAGATTCATCGGGGCCAGGCTCTTTTCTGGTGTGAATGCGGGATGGAGATTGGTCGGAGGCGCGATGTAGGTTCTCCAGAGCCCGAAACTGTCGTCCTCGGCGGAGATGTGGTTCGGGGAGCCAACCACCTCGCCCATGTCCAGTTTCTGTTCGTGGATCTGGAATGCGATCAAGATGGAGCGGACTGACTGGAAGGTGACTGGCGTCACGCTCGGGAGGTCTCTTCTGATCATTTTCTTCGAAGTCCTCCCCGCTATGAACGCCTGTTCCTCAGCCTGGAGTTGTAGAAATAGTTTATGGCCCGCTTGGAAATGCATCTGAGCTTGCTCGTATGATCCCTGGACCACGCTCATACAAGTGAAAATGGTGCTGGCGACCAGAGTGCGCCATCGGTCCGCCTTAGATGACATGGACCTTGATCTCGTGAGATGGGAGATGGCGGCATTGTGCTGGCTCAAGGCAAATGTGTTGTTGCTCCCTGGATCTAAGGATCTGAAGTCGTAGTCGCGACATAAAGATCCTAGAGCTGTGACAGCGTGCCATATCGCCGGGTCAGCGAGGCAGAACTGCGGGATCTCTCGAAGCCAAAAGTCCGTGTCAAAGGTGCCGGCTATGGAGGGCGCGGCGACGTTAATGAAATATTGGTACACTTCGAGCTCCCGCGGATCTCTTCTCAAGATCGGCAAGGCGACTGGACGCGATAGTTTACCATTAGTAGCGGAGGATATGGCGGGGTGAGCCGCGGGGGCAAGCTGCCGGGGCCGAATCGAGGGTGCCGCTGTAAGAATTTGTGTTGGTTTGTTAGAGGATGGGGGCTTTGGTGACGGAGTGATCGAGGAGTCAGAGTAGCCATCGCATTTGCGGCCGGTCGAGACGCAGCGGTTGCATTCGGGCTTCTGCTGATCGCATCGAACGCGTCTGATTCTGTAAGGCGCCCATCGTCGGAGCCGGTCAGCCTGAGCAACGAGATAAACGATCGTCATTCATGACAGTGGAAGCTTACTTGCAGGTCAAGCACGGCGTCCGGACCTTGCGTTGGGAGGCTCGCTTAGGCATGGGCCGGGCCTCGATAGGCTCCATGTAGCTAGCAGGCTGCTTCTATGATAACTTCTTCCTTTACCTGAATGTGATACGTTGATTGATCGGAGTGAAAAAGTCGCACAAAGAGGATGACACGTTATTCGTGCGCTAGGCGATCTTGGACTGATGAAGGAGACAGGGGTGGTGGATGACATATTCTCACGGATTTTGCTGGCTTGCAAGATCGTTCCTGTTGGTATGTATTATGGGATAGTTGCTGGGACTGAAGTGTGGCAATATAATTCTGAACGAGTAGGCTACCATCGAAGAGTCTCGTTGACCGAATTAGAATCGTTCATCTACAACTCTGTGTATTGCTGCATCATGACTTGACTGGCACTTCTCCACTCGGAATAACCTTGATTGTAAGCTTGTGGGAATAGTTGCGCTTTGGATGCAACTCTTTCCTCAGTTGATATTCTCCCATATAAGATTATTAAACCCTTTTCGTCATGTACTATAAATAAAGTATCTATAGAAGGAAGAGCCTTGAAAATAAAATAAGATGGATCTTCCTCCGCATACTCTTTGGTCTTTTTAACCACTTTCTCATCTTCCACATGTACTCACTCTCTTTATCCTGACAGCTCCTTACAAGCAGTGCCACCAGAAGTGCAGAAAAGTACAAGAATTGACCGATTATTATGTAGCTGAAGAACGACCGGATTAGAAAAGGGCACGATAAACCCCAATCAATTGTTCGCGTCCGCTCCATAAAGGCCAGACGCTCACAGTGATAGAAGAAGCCCAAAGCCAGATGATTGATACAACAACCCAAGCTGTGAAGAACTGTATCGACTGTTAGTTAAGCTAGACGAGATAGAGAATACATTAGTATCACATACCGCTTTACTGAAAACATAGTTAGCCGCGTAGATTGGAAGTGGCCAAAGCACCCAGTGACCCAAGAATGTCGCAATCGCCCAAATCATGGCTTGACGTGTCCAACGGCGCTGCTGTACATCTGTGTCGGCTTTTCCTACGACGCGTATAGAAGAGTCTTGCTTGCTTGGCCCAGCATTCTTTGGAACTTCTTCGGCTTCGTTTGCGCTGACACCGCCGGACTTAGAGTCATCGGTCACAGCCAACCTGTGTTCTTCTAGCGTTTCCCAGTCGTCTTGAGCAGGCCAGAAATACGAAATGACAATGGTGAAAAGCAGGGGACTGAACATGGAGGCAACTGTCCCGTACATGCACGGTAATGTGAGACCCGTAGTAGCTATGGAGATCTCGCCCCCAAAACGGTATGCTGTGCCAAGCCAGACAGCGATGCCCGTTATGATTCCAAGATAAGAAGAGCCTATAGCTGCGACTCTGCTCTGCCTCCGCCAGAGAATGGCAAAGACAGTGGGGAATGTCCCAGGACAGACGACAATGCCTATGAGTTGTGCCTTCACGTCAGACATTTGAACTAGGGGCAAGCTGATTAGCGAGGCTTACCGATCGTGTAAAGAGTCCATGCCATGTCGATTCCACCATAGTGGCAAGCTGCCGTGAGCCCGGCAGAAACGATACCGAAAAGAACAACGCCGAACCGGCTCCATCGGATTAGATCGGAGGAGCGAGCTTCTGTGTTGACGTATGTGCGATAGAAGTCAAACGAGAAAATGGAGGATACTGCAATGACCTGAGCCGAGAGAGTAGATGTGATGGCCATGAATGTCATCAGAAGGACAGCGACAGCACCGCCTGTTCCGGCGACGGCCATGGCTGCGTACGGGAGGACAAGGCCGGTGGTCACCTCCTCACTTGTCATCACCCTCGGATACGTGGGAAAGGATGGACTCCCTTCGAGACCGATAGCAACTAAACCCAGGACTGTGCCTAAACACCAGGGGATACTGAAGTAAGAAATACTCCCTGCAATATAGCCAGGGACGACGGAGGATGGAGATGCAGCGAACGCCTTGATAAAGTATCCAGTATCCATCTGCTCATATTAGACACCGAAGCGACTCCATATCGTCATGATGTTTTTTGCTTACAATAACACAACCGAAGTTGGAAACGAGCAGAATGATGGCGAAATTGATGCCCTCTTTGGATGTCATCGTCAAGATGGACTCTTGATAGTTGCCTGCGATCTTGTGCTCATCTTGGGCAGCCACCACAAGGTCATATAGGCCACCAATCGATCCGACGCTCTCGTGCTGGAATGTTTTGATGGTGAGGTACAAGCAAAGAATGACGATGATTGTAGTATGAATGTAGTCCGTGAGGAATCTTGTTGTATGCATTAGTATCATCAATTGGACATCCCAAATAATTGGTACTTACGTTGCTTTGATGCCTCCGAACAACGTGTATAGAACAACCCCGACAGGAACTAAGAAGGTAGAGGACATGATGTGCATCCCGGTCCTAACCACATGTTAGCCGAACTGTAAGAGAGATGGAACCTAAGACATACAGAAAGGTGATGACTGATGACGCGCCGAGAATCATGTTGATTGTGTTGAAGAGGTTGTTGACAACGGCCAGGAAACCGAAGCTTATATGTGCGAGAGTGCCTGGAAGCCATCAGTATGAGATATAGGAAAAGAGAATACCGGTTCAAGTAATAGTACCATATCGGAGACGAATCACTTCTAGCACCGTGTGCGCTTCCGGAATCCTTTTCTTGCATATAATGCCGAGATATGCAAACGCAGCAATCATGGGCGAGCAGCCTGCTCCGTACCAGAATGCGCCGCTCACTCCGTAAGAATAAGTGACCAAAACGCAGCTGAGTAAAGCTGTGCTCCAAAGCCAAGACTATGCGGTGTTAGAATATTGGGCATTTCATGGATCAACAGTCGGGACTTACTGAAACCACAGCTGATGCGACTAAGCCAGTGCCGACTTTTCGGTCGGCAACCATGAATCTAATCTCTTGTTAGCTAGGAATCAGAGTTTTATTATGGAAAACGTACGTCTCAATCTTGGAGTTATCTTCGCCCTGTGTTCGCTTCAACAAAGCAGTAATCCCAATCATAACTGGCAGCCTTGGTCAGTTCATGGATATTATTTTGCCCTCTTAAAGCTTTCACTCACCGAAGGCAAATAGAAGGCCCACCACTACCACAAGCACATATCCGACTACTTGGGGAAGAGGAGAGGCAATGACGCCCTCGTCCTCAGCTCGCACGAGGGTAGCCATGGCGTATGAGGACACACGTTTTGCTGATGATTTAGAAGCTGTAGGCTGACCACATAACCGATGAATACGACCTCAAATGCGCGTCAAGGAAGAGGGCGGGAAGTCGTTAAGTATAAATCTGCAGCCCTGTGCTCGGAAACGGAATGGGAGACACACAATTCGTCTACGCAGACCAGGGCACTGCAGATTACGCCAGACCCGCAATGTCGTGCTTTTCAGTGCGACTACAGACGAGTTTCTGGTGGTCTAAAATGTGCGAATGTGGGGAATGTGCGAAATCAGACTGAGATATTGCACCATTTGGAACCATTGAGATGAAACTACATGATACCTGATTAGGACATCTTTTACGGAGGCTCTAGATTACGGTTCAAATCACGGTCAGATAATTCACTTTGCGAAAATTGTGGCATATTGCGCCAGATATTCTCGTATAATTATTGATATTACATGCTAAGATTGGGGGTTTGGTTATAGATATCGTATCAAACACCGTCAAACTAGATGCGTAAGGATATTGCTAGATACCTATGCAGTGTTGAACATATTCACCCTAGGTGTAAGTTTATAATGCCAAAACTTTAAACGTACGTTCTGCTGTCCGTGCTAGACTCATTGGCACAGCTCTGTATCCCTGGGATAATAAAGAGTGAAGGGCAGAGATACAAGGGAGCCGACGAGAGCTGAGGAATAAGGGGAGAAATGGGAAGACAAGGTCTCGCTGTTTGTGATTCCTCCTAGCGACAGACAGCCTTTTCGCGCTTACACGAAGCGCCCGTCAGCAGTGACTTTTTTGTTCTTAATAGAAGCACCTATAGAGCGGTCTTTAACAAAGGAGGAATTCAGTCATAAGCTCGCCTAGGCTAGCTATGGTCTATCTTATCTCACAGCTCTTTATCACCTAGCTAGGTAGATAGATATTCGAGAGGTGAAGCATTTGGCATCATACACAACAGACCCTACACTATAGAGGTCCATTTGCGGTGTGAAAGTTCTCTCAAGGATACGCTGATGATAGCTAGGCTGGACTTACGCTATCCTTGCGGCTCCGATTCCAAGAGTATAAGTACATGATTGCCTCTCGTATAGGGAAACATAGGATACACCATTCTGAAGGTTCAGACTTCTCCCGTTTTACTTGAAAGCTAGTGAACGCTTCAGCCTTCTTTTTCCACTCTTCATCGCTCTTTGCCATATGGTTTATAACAGGCTCCCTGAACCTGTTGTAAAAACCTGTAGAAGCCCGGCGGAGATTGTTAATGTTCAGTACAACAAGATAAGTTGTAGCGCCTACTAGAATAGTAGTTATAATCAAAGGTACCCTTGCATATGTTTCATTAATACTCCAAATAGCAACGCAGAAACCAAGCGGAAGATAAAATATACTGACGTATGTGAGCAGTTTCACATTTTCAGAAAGACGAGTTGATGCACGACTCTCTATGACGCTACTTGCGTTAAATAGCTATCATTTTTGGTAAGCGATTATAATGATTGCACCATGTTGCTGAAAGTACTCACCGCGCTCCTCAAGGTTTCCGCTCTTTTGCAACCTCCTTGAAAGTAAGACGATAGTTCTCTTAGTCGCATAATCTGGTCTTCTGCCTCTTGAACAAGTGATTTTACTTGCTTGTCAACAACTCCCAACATGTCTGCTCGGGCAGTTCGGAAGCGGGACCATTCCGTCATTGTGTCTTCTATCTGTCTATGAAACATTCCGAGAGCATCAACGACCCAAAAGTACAGCCGTGATCTCGAAAACGCTTCGTCATCGGATAAAAGGCCGTCATGTAATTCGGGATCCCAAATAGGGCTTTCAAAATCAATTGTCTTGCCGAGCTCAGCTCTTAGCTCATCCCAGTCATCGGCGGTCATTTTTAAACCTCGTACAATCACCCGGAATATCGAGCCGGCACCGTATGTGATCTCATCCCATTCATCCTTTGACTCAGGTGCCAGCAGCAGGATAGTCCAAAAGCTTGTCCTCGCATAATTTATTGAATCATCCGATTTGTACGACCTTGGGTCATCCATATCAACTCGTGTAAAGGTCGGGAAGTACGCCACAGTAAATGCCTGTTGCTGAATACAATACTTCTTGTTGCTATAGAGCGGGCCCTTCTTCCAGGTAGATTTGAACTCATGTGAGGTTCTCAGTAAACGATTCCAAGTGATGTGAAAAGCTCTCCAGGAAGATTCGAATGGATTTCCAGATTCCTTTGGTTGCCGACAAAATAGGTGGTCGTTAAACATCCTGGAAATGAGTGGTTCTCGACTTTCGGGCACCCGTGGTCGTTTCTTGTTATGATAGATGAGCAAGGTCCAATCCGGGGCTTCACCATCTGCCGGTGCGGCATTGGAAAGACCCTGTATACAGATAAAACGGCACCATTCTCGCCGAGAAAGATCCTTTGGACCTCTGTTGGACTCCCAGACTGGACCTTTGACCTCCTCCCCAACGGGTAGCCATTTCGCCTCAACTAACTCATCAGCAGAAACAACTGTTGGAGGTACAATAAAGCCATTCTTTTCTTTTTCCAATGCCGCAGTGGATGCTCGCCAGAATATCCGGCTGGTATCGAAGTTGGTTTTTTCAAGTTTGGACTCATGGGAGTATTTCGCAACTGCCCCAACGCCATTATAGTCTTGTATAAAGAAAGAACCTGACTTTTCAAGGCTTTGAAGAAGAATTCTGACGGCTTTCAAATAAGCATCGAGACTTATTCCCCGATATCTCATCCGGAGTTCATTTTTCTCGAAGGCCAATGCAATACGTGCATCGGGAGGGGCGGAGAATAGGTCCCCGAGGGAATCTTGAATTTCATACCATTCAATTCTCCCTTGCAATCCCAATGGTGGTGCTATGACAGCACGCCTCGAATTAACTGCTGGGACTGGGGGGCTTTGAGAGTAAGGGACATGGTAGTATTGTGACTGACGGCCGTCATAAGGAATCGGTATCTCTTCAAGAGCATCGTCTTTGTGATAATACAAACCATCCTCGGAAGACTTGTATAGCTCCCATGGTGGTATGAAATCGGGAGTATGTCCATCTCGTGTACCAATTGCATAACCGATAGGTGACCTTACTTGTGTTCTGTATATTTGCTTCCCTTTACCATGACATCAATAATCCTGAGTCCCTTCTTCTTCTTTTTGAAAGTTCTGGAGATGACTTACAATAATTCCAATGCATACCAGCGACTCCTTTAAACGAGCGCCCAATATCTTTGTCAATGGCTTCATCGAAATCTTCTACTATCGGATCAAGGAAGCTGTCGGACGCTTCATTCGACACAAAAGCCTTGGTACGAGATAGTATGTTTGTAACGTCAAGTTGGTGTGAATTTGGATAACCCAAAATCAAGAGCGCCTTAAGTCTCTCTTCATCAGTACTGAAACGTGGCAGATCGGAATTCGATTGGTTTGATGTTGTCCGATGGACTAGTCTAGCTGAGTCTGTCTGGTCTGCTGGGTCTGCTGAATCGGTTGAGTCAATCAAGGTTGTGTTCCTATAAACTGATTTAGTTTCTTTCAGAACAGCCTTAACAATATTTTGCGATGTATGAGGGTCAATAGAAAATACCTAGTGGAATGTAGATCTATCAGGTTCTTAAGCACCGAATCCAAATTACATATTGACGTTCTAATCTCGTGTAGGCTGCGTACATACTCAGTCTGAGCATCGCTATTCCGAAGCATCGTCGTTGTTATGTCTATTTAAAACAGAGAACTAGTATTTTGTGACCATATCTTGTAATAAGTATCAAAGTAATAGGTTGTGTGGGATACAATTAAGAATGATAGACAGAGATAGCTGGATGAGAGCTGTGGCTGGCTACTGTGCTGCGCCCCAGATTATCGCTCTTTCGCTTTCAGCAAATGGTATTTTGTTTTATGTTCCAATGCATGGATGTATATATACTAGCCAGCAGCTGAAAACCTAGAGTTATTATAGGCAGAGCATACGTAATGCTACCTAATGCCCGATGCTACACAACATGCACGGCAGCCTAACGATATCGTGTAGATAGTCTTAGATATCTATTTACCGTGTGTTATTACGTACGTGCTGCAGCCACCGATAAGACCTGCACTTGCTGCAACAAATCAAAGTTAGAAGAATAAGCGTTGCATCTGCACGCCACCCACCACCAAACCAGCATTACGTGAGAAATACATCATACCGGGAAACACGAATTGTTCAATCAACTGTAGAGGGTGAGATGAGACGCAGGCACTTTATTAATACTGTAGCGAGCGACCGCATGGGCCATAAGCCCTTACTCAAGAGGCTGTTTGGCACGCTTCACGGAAATTTTATTATTTCACTCTATTGATCGCGGTCCATTACCACCAAGATGTCTATTAAGATCACGTCGCTATAAAGCCCTGCCAAAATCAACACTTACCATGACGTTAAGAGCTAATTCCAGCTTTTAGAGCCGACTCTAGGTTCCTAGGACTTGAACAATGGCGTCACCAGAGCAATATGCCATCATTCAGGAATTGCCTGTCAAGGGAGGCCAAACTCACCGATGTCTAAATAGACAGGACTTGATTGATTGGCTTTTCCCTTTCTAGTTTGATCTCGTAGCTATTCACAATGCCGGCTCGACATTGCCCACAAATTCGGCGAGCTTGGTGATGTTAGACTACCTATATGCTAAACCCGGCCGAAAGATATCGAACTGGACGGTTCTGTCGTCGAACCTTTAGGCTCGAGAGCCCTAGTTAACCGAGATACCAGCTATTTTCACGTTTATTCCAGCTGAAGTTTCCAAAGGTTAAGAAAAGTTTAATCAGATTCTAACACTGCGATTAAGAGTAGACATCTCGTTGCATTTCGTTGACATTGGATTGTAAAGAATATTATATTTCTTTCAATAAGGCCCCTCAATTACCCTTAGTAGGCATTTTATTCTATCCCTAAGCTCTTAGTCTGGCTTTCTCGAGCGGTAAACCATCCTTACCAGCGGTCGCATTAGGAAGCAGCCGGTAGTTTCCGTACAAGGCCGGCTGCACGAACTTGGTTGGAGCCTCGGTACCGAGTTCGAGGGAGTAGAGCTGCTCGTTGCTTGCACCGACCTTCAGACTCTCAGGGCGAGGCAGAACGGGCGCCCTCTTTGGCTCGCGCAGTTCGCCAATACCTTGGTAGACTTCGACCTTGGTACCAGTGAACTTGGATGGACAAAGGACAACGCCACCAGGACCAACATATCGCCAGGAGAGATGTAGCTGAAGGTACCTCTCAATTTCAGTAAAATCGCTGATGTTGTGATCCTCGCTTTCGTCGAGCGCGTGGTGAAGGAGGCTAATGGTCAGAGGCACCTGCGCACACGAGAGGGTGCCATCGCCGGCCTGCTTGGTGCAGTTGGCGCACGATCCCTCAGTTCTGCCACCGCCTCCACCAAAAGTGTAGACCTGGCCGACGAAGTTCTCTCGTTTGACGAGAGTCTCGCGTACGTCGTTGGCTCCGCCTAGGTAGAATTCGATGGCGTATGAGGCGCCCTTCAGGGCATAGCGGTCGTAGACGACACTAATGATGTAATCCTTCCAAGTATTGTCCTTGTCTGCTGTGAGGCCTTGGGTCTCGTGTTGGAGTGGCTTGACGAGATTTGCAGTGCTGGGGTATGTATCATTGATGTAGTTTCGAAGATGCTGCTGGTAGACTGGCTCGTCCAGGTTCCCTTCGCTGTCCAAAGCCCCCTTGGACAAAGCCATCAGGTCATCGTACTGGTAGTTCAGCTCGGTCCAGTCACGGCATTTTTTGGCAGTGTAGACGTTGTTCTCATCATCAGCTCGTCCACCATCCTCGAGGTGGAAAGGCTGCAATGGGTCATAGCAGGTATCATCTCTAACATTGTGCGGGTCTGGGGTCTCCTGTTTGTCGAACCACAGGTCGGGGTACAGGCATTGCCATATGGACAAAAGACGGTCAATTTGGCTGTTCACACATTATTATAACGTTCATGTGGTCCAAAAAAAATCAATGACTTACGTGTGATGGAGCCAGAAGATAGGATCGAATGCAGCCACGGGGACATCTGACATATGGCCAGCCCCAGAAAGAAAGTTACTGCCTCCAACCATATTCTATCATAATCACAATCAGCACTGAAATGCCAAATATTTCACTTGTTTACTCACATGAACGTTGTTGTGGATGTACTCCAGAGACATGTATCCCCGTTTCGGATCTGTGTGCTTCTCATTTTTCCACTTGGTTGAAGCAAACTCCCCCCAGGTTGTGTTGTATGCCTTCGTGAACATGCGATTCACTGAATCCGCGAGGTTACCGGGGTTGGGCAAGACCCTCTGCTTGGGATAGTCGGGGTCCTGTTCTTTAAGTAAACGCAAGGATGCAAGACTGTTATTCGCCTGGAACGGATTGTTGACTCCATCAAGACCTTGAAAGTCCGTCCTGTCATGATTAACCGTGATGCCATATCTGCTGATTCCGGTGCATCGACTCCACTGTCTTTTAATTAGTTGTGAATCAATGAAACTTATGAAGACAGGAATGATGTACCGGCAGCCAAAAGTCGTCTGATTTTGAATCCATAATGATTTCATTCTTGTGAACAGGAGGATCATCCTTGATATTCCAGTCCGTCTTACCTGTAGGCATCGAGCCAAATGGCAGAGGGTCGCCAAATGAGTCCTTCTCCGGGTTCTCGAATCCCCACAGCGGATTGGGAAACACGCCGCCGGGGTAATAATCAGCGACTTCGGGAGGAGGGAAGATGCGGACAGACGCCTGGGTCATCACCTTTGGATAGGCAAAGTCCTGAGTATAGCTCTGGTGTCGCGCCCAGTCCCAGTAAGGCATACGCCAGAGGTTAGCTGCATCAAGCCAGGTTTGCTCGTCGCTGATCTGATGCTTAGTCTTCCAATGCTTGATGACTTCCTTCATATTCTCCCAGATACATTGCTGTGTCGGAGTGTTAGCCAAAGTTGTCTTCAATTTCAGTTACACCACATTGCCTTTGACATACCTCGAAGAGTAGCATATAAGGGCGATGCCAGGTGGGGAAGTTAAGGCCATTATGATTGCAGTAGCCTCCGAAGGGCTGTGCTCCGGGGTCTGGATGCGGTACTGGGGTGTCCGGACTTTGCCTGGGCTTCTCAGCGCCGTCCCAAGAGGTTTCAGGATAGCCGTGCTGGTGAGGTTTTGTTAGCATGAAACTACATGAGTAACGCTTCAAGAGAGCACCCACGATGCCAGCGACCTGGAAGTAGGAAAGCCTCTCATCAACGCTCTTTTGCTTGAAGTTCTCAAGAGCAAAAACAAAGAGCGTCCACTGCCTTCTGAGATCCGGATCCTTGGAGTTGGCGAGAATTGAGATCTCGTAACGAACGGGCAGGTCAGTGACATATGGAATGACCTTGGTCTTGGTCTGCGCAGAGCTGGGGCGGGGGAGGCCCTTGATGCCGTATGTTCCGGTCATGGCGTGGAGGAATGATTCAGTGTCAATTGATTGAGAGAATATAGGAGCCGATGAATCTGAAGAGAAGTGGTTCCTGTGTCTCAGACTTAGTATTTATATCACTTTGCGCCTTTCCACGGGACAAGATTACCACGAGCGCTTACATTCAGATGTTTGCCCGTTCCATCTCGACCATTACTAGCACATGCATAGGACGGCCCGGCCCGTAGCTGAAGAACCAATTTGGAACTGGTCGGCCTCGAAGCGACTGGGCTCCATGGGTCGTGTCCCTAATGGAGTTAGTTCAAGAAGAACTATCAACAAATATTGAGCTGCGAGTCCTGCTGACCCTCCTTTGTTCACCCAATATTTCTCGTCTCCCCACACCTGACACATTGGAGAATGAATTCCTGCCTGGAGCTAGATAGGGCGTACTCGATAGTTTGACGTTTTTGGACGGCCCCGTTGCAATGTGATGCCGTTGTACGGGTTCAAACTGACACCGGCTGCATCTTTAGCGTCAATGTGACCAATCCAGGCCTTTTCTATCCTGGCAGTTATGAGCAGCTTCAGACAGGGGTTTTATCACATGGCCAACTATTTCCAGCTTGCGTCATGAAATATCTCAGGGCTGAAGCACTATTCAACATCGGCAAGCTGCTCTAGTGACTGTCAATGATTGACACGAGCCAACAACGGATTAGGTATCTCGCCTTGCACACCAATCTATCATCACGATAATACACCGCTTCTTGAAATAGTCAAGGTACGTTGTCGAGCCCTGCTAGCTATTACTTAGCCAACCAATGGAGATATGACCAAGCTCCGCACAGCCTCGGTCCTGTACATATATGCAGGGGTAGTTGCATCTCTGTGACATTTCAGCTAAGTTTGTGGACAAATGGGTAGTTGGATTCAATAGTTCATGAGCCCGGCCTCGGGAACCTGGCCATTGAAGACAGAAATTTATATTTGGTCTTGGCGTTGGTTGCTTCGCTTCACTCTGATGACCGCACCCAGTGTCACGATTTTTGTTAAGTATTTCATAGGCTAGATTGTGTACAATGCTAGAATAAGAAATTCCTGGTGGTCTTCTTGAACAAAAGGAGTCCTGCTCTAACAGTGTGAAAATGAAAAGAGTAATGAGTAAAGCTATGAGGAGATATTCGTCGTGGCAGCGTACTACTTCTTATGAGTCACCAAACAATTAATAAATTCTTACTCACCTATACTATCATAAACTGAAAATTCTCATATCTTCTCCTACTCCAT